TTCGCTAAAATTATTCCAAATTTCTGCAAGCGGGCCACAACAAATCAGCGAACTATTTTTCCGGTGCGCGCTTGCTCAAAATTCGCATGGCCGCCTGCCCCCGGCGATTATCTGAGTAAGACTCTGTGTGGCAGAGGTGTCACCGTTGGTTTAATTACTCAAGTTTGAGGTACTTTCTCTCAACGAAAAGTACCTGGGAGTTGCGCGGTCCTCCACAAAGGACCGTGCGGCCCTCGAAATTTTTGCATATTTTCGCGGAAAGTCCGCGAGAATGCGGCCACTGCGCCGCAGCTAATTTATAAAGAAACCGCGATTGTTCTCCAAGCATTCATCTTTGATTTCGCCAACTTTCTTCCAAATCTCTGCAAGCGGGCCGCAAAAAATCAACGAACTATTTTTCCGGTGCGCGCTTGCTCAAAATTCGCATGGCCGCCTGCCCTCGGCGATTATCTGAGTATTGGTCCGAGTGGTAGTGCATGGTTGCCGCAAACAGTGCAAAGGCTTGCTAGTGTAATTTGGCCTCGGTTTCAACTAACCTAGTACAATTGCTAAAAATACTGCTTTCGTTGAGCCGATGCACCAAACTCGTAGAAAATCTTGTTCTGAGTTTATGCCACGCGGTTGCAAATGTAGTGTATGTGGGTATTACCGGTATGTGGGTATGTGTATGTGGGTATTATTGTGGGTATGTGGGTACCTCAAACCGAAACCGAAAAAAACCGTATTATTCACTCTCTGGATCAAACCGAAAAAAAAGGTATTACCGTAATTAAACTTCATTTATGAACAAAACACAGTATTTGATGACAAAGAAGATGAGAGAGGAGTGCCACCAGGGACTTGTCAACTCAAACTATCTTCTCAAGATACTTATGACTGATCCCTCTAAGACTTCTTACAAGGGAAGTTCGCCGAATCGAAGTGGCCGATTGACATGTGGTGTATACCCGGGCTCGGGGCTCGGGAGGTTAGTATCAAATGTGCACCCATTAGCTGCGACGCGTTATTGTGAAGCAAGTTATGGGCCTCTGAAGTTTTTGTCCTGTGCATGTGTAGCGAACGCATAAACACTCCAATCGTGGTCGTGTGGTGTAGTGGAAGTGTCTCGGACTCACAGGTGACCGGTGAGGGTTCGAATCCTGTTGCTGTCCACGTTTTTTGCGTTCTTCCCAAATTTCATTTTTTACCTGTTTTATGTACTATTGAGTTAAAAAATGACACACGCGGCTTACGGGATGATTTTTCTCACGAACATTCGATCAAAGTTTCATATGTAAAATTTTCGGGCAAACTTCTTGCTTTGACCAATCAAACTTTATCCAAAGCCTATATAATATTAGATTGCTCACAAATAATCAACTATTGAGATCATATGTGATAAGCTATGACAAAATGGTTGAAGCACAGGTACTTCTCGCAATGTGCACAACGAATAAATATAATGTCATTGCATTCTTCTATCTCACAGCAAGCATTTGAGTTCAGATTATAAGAAAAACAAAACTGTAGCGGCGTTTCAAAGGATTCAGGGTGCTCATCCACATACCCTGCGGCATGCCATGAGTATGCGAGAAAACCCTTGAAACGCGGCGAACAGAACTGGAAATAGACAAGTGAAATTATCTTTAAAATCGAGTCTCTATGATGCAGCGGGAATTCAATTTCGTGAGTGTGAACAAATGAAACAAAAGGCTTATAGACCGATTTAAATGGCAGGAAAAAATAAACATCAAGTGGTTGCACCATTGATGTGGTTCCCGCAGGAATATTCATAATTTTAAGACTTTTGCCCTCTGGCAATGCGGACATAATTGAATCATGATCTTTGAATGAAGACACGAATCAACAAGTAAGAGAGTTGCTGCCGGAGAGTTTGGTGAAGCTACACATGAACGCACCCAGTCCAGTAAAAGTTGCTTGTTCATCATGTACGTAGTATTGGCACGGATTTCAAGATTATGTGCTTCAAAGTGCCCTCTAGCGGGGAAATGCCCTTGTTTTTCCTAGAGAATTAAAATCAGGCATATAAAATTGTATTAATTCAAAGTACCTGCATCACCACATAGAGTTTCGCTCCAAGGTGGCCGTCTGCATACAGAATCGGCATAATGGTAAATGAGTGAGTCGTTGCGGATACCGACTGCACTACCCTTTCAACCTTTTTCGAGCCTTTCTCTGCCAACGACCGAGCGGAGTGAATTTCTTTTACAAACCCACTTGATCGGCGTTGCAGATCAACGCAAGCGGCCATCTTTCCATTTCTGGAATTATCTCCTTGACTTATGCCTCAATGGAAGTAGCACAATTACCTTCTTTCACTTTGCTCACGAATGCTTGAGCATTTCTTGTAAGGGTTTCTTTGTCCAAAAAGTTTTTTTTGGATATAAAAGTTGTTACCCTTCGCGAAACGATGTTGTTCCTTTTCTTGAACGTATTTATCCAGGTATGACCAGCATGGAAATTGTCTATGTGAAGCTCGTCTCTATTGATTTGCAGAGCGAAATCTCTCAAATCGTGATCGTGGAGAGAAATTCCCAACATTAATTTCGATGTTACAACTTCCTTCAGCCTTTCGACCAGTGATCGGAGCCGTATACGGCGGTCAGCAAGTCTCTCACCTAGATATTCAACATATTTCTTCCAAATAATATGTCGAACACTTCAACTCACGATCTTTTTCAATCTCCCTCAATTTCACCAAATGATACGGGGTTTTGATGAATCGAAACTTATTAGTCATGCAGGATAGCGGACGACTTCCCTTTTCCGTTGAACGGTAGAAGGCAATTGCCTTTTCAACCTACAGTAGCACATTAAAATGGCAGCGGAAACACGCCAAATTTACACACCATTTCGCCGGATACTTCTGTGTCTCCGAATAGGACCGATCCGCATCTGCTTGATGTGGGCTGCTCATTTTCATCGTCACCAGACCATTCTTCGCCCTCGTTGGCCTCTTCTATCACATCGTCTTCGTCCGATTCGATATCGAGGGCATCAGTAGCTGCTTCACGCAAGATGTATGCGAACTTGTCGATTACTTTTTGTTCATTCCTAGTCGGTTTACGCATATTGTCGCAGGAGCCAAAATCCTTTGACAAATATGCTAAAACCAATTTTGGGCAGAACATAGCAACGACTTTTGAGCGACGGCTTGTCAATTGACTTTGAAGGCTTGCCAAATTCTCACTCCCACATACTATCTTCGGTTGCACGTAATATTTACGTGACAATTTCCAAGTTGTATCACGTCGTACTATTGATTCTTGCTAATGGGCTACTTGTGAGAATGACACGGCAGGATGTATAATTAGTAGAGTTTAACCAACCGTGTGTGTCATTTTTTAACTCAATAATACATAAAACAGGTAAAAAATGAAATTTGGGAAGAACGCAAAAAACGTGGACAGCAACAGGATTCGAACCCTCACCGGTCACCTGTGAGTCCGAGGCACTATCCACTACACCACACGACCACGATTGGAGTGTTTATGCGTTCGCTACACATGCACAGGACAAAAACTTCAGAGGCCCATAACTTGCTTCACAATAACGCGTCGCAGCTAATGGGTGCACATTTGATACTAACCTCCCGAGCCCCGAGCCCGGGTATACACCACATGTCAATCGGCCACTTCGATTCGGCGAACTTCCCTTGTTAGTAAGCTGGGTACTTGTCGTGTGGATCTAATCCTACCCCTAGAAGAGTTGTGAAGAGAGACTTGTTAGTGTCGGAGACTATTGTTTTCACCCCAGGAGCTAATCCTACCTCCACTTGTGGAGAGACTTGTGGAAAACTGCTCGACCTTACTCATCCATGAGTATTATTCACCCTCTGGATAATATGCCACGTCATCATTGTTAACTGATCTAGTGATGAGCCTGGATAATTTAAATGTGTAATCAGGTCAAAGCTAGGGCAATGATAAACTGATAGGGCGTTAGCATTCACTTGTCCTTAGTTGTCTGGTCACCTACTTCCGTTGCGGGGTACTGTTTCAAAATTAGAGGTCTATCAACAGAATCAACACTAACAAGAATAAATATGAACAATAAAATAAACACAACGATCAACATGGTATCACTTCACTGGCATTGAATTCAATACATATACCATTGAATTCGCCTTTCGCGACAAGTACGTGAAGGCGACACCTTGTTCGAAGCTGCTCACTACCGCGCTGCAGTGGTGCATGCAGTCACTCGACTGAGATGAGAAGGGAATACAAGTGGATAAACGATACTTTTCAATACTTTCAATACTTTTTTTGCAAACGATGTCGTTATCCGAAACGTTAGCGAAGCCGAGGAGATGTTGCATGAGTTGAATGAAAACTGAAGCAGGTTGGCATTTCTTGAGAAACACTTGACGCAGTGAAGGCCAGTTACATTTGTATGAATCACCGATGGAAGAGACCACATCCTACGTTAACTAGGGCGTGTGTTTTCTATGTTGTAAAACATGATAAACCCTAGCACTTTGCTTTTTTCATTTCTTATCTTGTCCTATATTTCTCTACGTTGTACGTTCTATACGTCCGTAAATTATATTGTAAGATCTATATAGCTCTGCGTGACTTTTTGACGGCTTGATGAAAAGCAAAGAAGAGAAAGTGTTCAAAAAGACGCATTTTCTAGTGCACGCTTACTTCACGTCACGCATTTAAATGTTGTAAACATGTGATTGTCCTTTACGCAACGTTCCTAAAGGCATAATATCCTTTGAGGACCTTTTCTTGTTCAATTGTTCATCGGATCGTCAAAGAATGTAATTGTTACATGTTTGTAGAGTACAGTTGGATGATACGAGAAGAACACGATAAGTTAAAAGAAGTAACATTGAGAGTGTTCAGGAAATTGTTATTCCACACCCGGTTTATTTTAAACTGTTTTGGCGGACACCATAATAACTGTATTTGTAGGTTTTGCTTCAAAGGCAGGATGTGTAAGGTAAAAAACCCAGGTTGGCACAAAAACCAGCACATCGTAGCAGAATCCTCTCACTAGAAAAGACAGCTCGTAAAGTATGGCAAAGTAGAAAAACATCTGCAAACAACTTTTATTCATAAAACTGAAACCGTTCCCTCACCACGAAACTGGAGAGAGAGCAAGCATCCAACACTTACGTCAAGAATGCAGTTGAAGCACAACGAAACGCATAATGAGCATGTAAGTAGTAGCAACGACTTTTCTGTTCGATTCCACGTCATCGATGTCCTTCTGCAACCCAATTTATGTGCTCGCTACATTTTCAATCGTCAGCCTTACTTTTGTAAAATCCGCCATCTAATGATCGTAATTGAAAGACAAGTGAGATCCAAGAAACATGATACGCATGAGGCGATGAGCAAAGCAAAACTGCTCCTCCACTGAATAATCGAATTTTGTTATGGCCTACTAACCTTGGAAAAAAGAGTACTGCCATTGAACCCTACTTCTAAGTGCTGGTCCTCAATATGTCATATGAGTAGCAAACATTTATCAGGGGATGCGCTACCAATGCTGCTCTCTCCAAGTACCGGGATGATCTCGGCTTGACAATGCTGGCGCATTTTTCTCGGATTCTACCCTATTCTTATTAGAATTTTTTCGAGTGTTGCTCATGCTCATGTACACCTAAATCCACTTCTTCTCTCGTGTATCACAAAAGGGGGGGGGGAGAGGAACTGGGTTATCAAGGGAAAGGTCAGGATCCGAAGTGACCAACCCAAACAAGATGCATACCATTTGATGCAACATAAAACACAGGCTCCAAATCCGTCTCGCTTATTTGGCGGACCAAGATATGAGCCACTGTATTGCAAAAAAAGGGCATGCAACGTTCAAATTTAGATATAACCCATGTTTGGCTTAGAAGCACCATACGCTCTGAGTTAGGGGTTCTGAGCTTTTGGCATAGGAGTCTTGAGCTTCTGGTAGGACAAGATAGTAAGGCCCCTTATCAAGCCAGTGTCCGAATAGCGGCGCAAAATGTTACTTCGGAATCGAGAAAATCGCTCCGGAATAACACAGAGAGCAGAGAACACCTAGGCGGATCCACCTCTTTTTGTAGTCGTTCCGGCAAACCCGCCCTGCGGATTTTTTTTCGGGACCGGGTTGTCGAGGTTTATGCCTATATTCGACTTCACGTTCGTTCCGAAGCCTTCTCATATCAGGGACATGAAAAGGTTTCGGAACGAAAAAAAACAGAGGACTCGAGGATCTGTGTGGACGGCAGAGGCAGACCGAGAGGGTAGAACGTTCCTCCTCCGAGCCATATCCTCACTCCTAAGGGTGTGCTTGCCAGGCACATTCGGACTAGCTGAGACTATGAGCTCTTCAGTATATCAAGACATTGCAAGCCCTCCCCCCCCTTTGCGTCGCTTCAGATGGTGAAACCGGAATTTTAAAAAAGTTTTGAAATTTCAAAACCACATTTCGGACTTAGGGGTTTCGAGGTTGCTCTTTCGGTAATGAGATGGGCATTATCAGCCCCCGACGTATTCTCAAACTGAATATAGAGAAAAACAATACGGAATTACATACGTATTTCTGCATTTGTCATTTTTTTCTTAGGGAAATAATTGGTTTTGTAGAACTAGCACTTTTTGTTTCCAAAAAATTTAAAAAATCAAATCGCGGATGATGTTGCAAAAAACATATAGGCTTCTGCATGACGAAGGCGCAAAACCTTTAGGCGCGAGCGGCTTTATTAGCCGCAGAACGCATGAGGCACAGGATTTACAAGTGAAGATACGCGCGCCGCATTCTCGCCCGCTCAACTGTAATTGCTTCTGCGCCTTCGTCATGCAGTAGCGTTTACATCGTTATCGAAAAAGCAATTTCAAAAACCTGTAAGCCTGAACTTCGGTTTTGTTATGAAACGGAAATCGTAATCCTCTAAATTCGAAATTCTGATGTTGGCTGGGTATTATCGGTGGAAACCTTGACTCTGCAATAACAAATCTCGGCGCTATTCCACTATTTGGGCCCCAAAATTTCAAAATCGTGAATGTCGCTGTAACTCGTCGATGGGGATTATTCGATATGCTGGCTACGGTTGCCACATTCTTTTTGTACGAAAATGTCATTCGGTGGGGCTACGGTGAGCATACGGCAGGGAGACAAAAAAAATTTGGCTGACTTCGGTCTAGGGGGGTTTTCTGACGTGCTAATCCACGAATATTAAATTCTTTATGCATTCTGCGGCTTTTTTCATAAAGTTACGGTAGTTATACGACATGAGGTCAAAACTCACAATTTAGCTCCAAACTTCGCCTAGCGTGTTATTTAGCCCGCTGAACATGACTATCCACGTTAAGTTCTCAAAAAAGCGCCATTTTCTTGAACTACGATGGGTATACAGTAGATAGGTCGAAGTTCGGAATTTGTTTACAACTTTGCCTAGAAAGGTTGTTGAGCATGCTGATTACGGATAGCTTGCTCGCTGCAGTAACGCATTATTGTCGAGTTACGGTAGTTTTCAGCCTATGGATTAGAAATTTCTTCGTCTTTCGGACCAGTTTAGATCACATAAATCTCAAAGGGCTTTGCCATATGGAATGTGCATGACTAGCGAGTCGAATAGCCCCCTGCACACATTTCAAGCAGGTCTATGATTTTGAGCCTTCTACCATATACCCACCGTAGGTCCGCAAAAAGGTTCTAAAATGCAAGGGGAGTATGATATTTGTGAACAGCATGTAAAATATCTCCTTTGGACCGAATTCAGCCAAATTTGAGAGTTTGACTCTCTACCGTAAACCTACCGAAATCTCGCGACAAGGTCATGAAATGCAGAAAGAATATGGCCCGTAGTAAAGCTCGGTCAGGAGAGATGATCTCCGCTGAGGCCCTTAGGCGAGGTTCCGTCAGGTGAAATGACGACAGCCCACTTCCCCATACTGAAAGAATGCAATGTCACCTGACATGTGAGCCTCAGGTCAGGTTCGGCAGGGAGATCATCTCTCTCCGAGTCATCGGAGATGATCCGAGCGATGATCTCCCGAAATAGTGTGCGAATGAGGAAATATTAGGTTGTCAAGAAAATAATGTCCGTTTTTATTTGCTTGCTTTAACAAAACAACCAAACTCAATCCAACAAAGGATAAGGGGTACTGTTCGATAGAGCAAAGCAAGCTCTACAAGATGGCACTCATGTCTTTGCGCCATGCTCGATCCACGGAGAGTTCGAACTCAAAATCTAAAGATTTCCAAATGCCCAAAAAATCGAAAAAAATCAGATCTTTGTCCAAATAATTTCTACGGACCTCCCACTCGCTCACATCAATACTATCGATATCTGATATCCATATGTGCGATTGCCGTATTTTTCCCTTGACTAGAAACTGAGAAAACGAAAATTTCCCTGATTTTCAAGCAATGCTGAGCCGTTTTTGCATATGCAGTTCTATACTACAAGCGTAGGTAAGTATATCTGTAGATTTTTAGCCCATTCCAAGCGGTAGTTTTCGAGAAATGTCGATTTTAGCACTGAAACTGAAGCGAAAAAGTCCGAATTCGTTATTTTTCCAAAACTACCGCTTGGAATGGGCTGAAAATCTACAGTTATGCTTACTTAGGCTTGTAGTATAGAACTACGTATGCAAAAACGGCTCAGCATTGCTTTGAGAAAATCAGGGAAATTTTCGTTTTCTCAGTTTCTAGTCAAGGAAAAAATACGGCAATCGCACATATGGATATCAGATGTCGATAATATTGATGTGAGCGAGTGGGAGGTCCGTAGAAATTATTTGGACGAAGATCTGATTTTTTCGATTTTTTGGGCATTTGGAAATCTTTAGATTTTGAGTTTGAACTCTCCGTGGATCGAGCATGGCGCAAAGAAATGAATGCCATCTTGTTGAGCTTGCTTTGCTCTATCGAACAGTACCCCTTATCCTTTGTTGGATTGAGTTTGGTTGTTTTGTTAAAGCAAGCAAATAAAAACGGACATTATTTTCTTGACAACCTAATACAAAGAGAATTTACTCCAACAAGGAGAGGATACTTAGTCGAAAGCACCAATCCGGATGAGACACGTATCATCTCAAACGCTTGACACGCTGATTGTAAATCTGTAGTTTTTAGCAGCGGAGCGGTTTTGTAGAAGGAGTTATGAGGGGTATTTCCATTTGGGGTTGAGGCGCCCTCCAGCAGGTCTCCCCTTACCCTACTGCTACCAACTGGTAGCAACTGGCTAGTGGTAATTTGAATGAAGATTACATTAAGAATTTTATTACTCGTATTACTTTGATTCTTTAACACTTCCAATTTCATTTAGCATCAATATCGTCCGAAATTTCAGGCTAGGGCTCTGGAGCCATTTAAAAGCTCAAAAACTGCGATAAAGTTGCATGCGAAGGGGATTAAAACCTTGACACTCTCTTTATCAAGCAAGGCACTTACCACTAGGCCACTTGCCACCAGTTGGTACTCCTCTACAGTGCTCATAGATAAGGGGAAACCTGCTGGAGGGCGCCTCAACCCGAAAAGGAAACACCCCTCATAACTCCTTCTACAAAACCGCTCCGCTGCTAAAAACTGCAGATTTGGAGTCACGTTTCATGCGCTTTAAGATGATATGTGTCTCATCCGGATTGGTGCTTTCGACTAACAAGGAAAGGATACTTGGTGACCGTGGCCTTTCGAAATTAAACGTACACCATTGAATGCATCTTGAAGCGCTGATTCCAAATCTGTTTTCTTTATCTGCTGTGCGCTCTTCCGAAAGAAGTTATGAACATTTCTTGTCACCAAAATTTGCACTGTTTTTGATGCAGGATTCACCAATATCGTTGGAATGTTCGCTTACGCACTACCAAAAAGCGTACAAATAAAGTAAAGCTTCACGTTAAGCTCAGGAAAACTATCACCGATACATAAGAGTCTAAAAAGCTGGGATACTGACGATTTTGACTGCCTAAATCTCGCAAAATCAATATGGAAAAAAGTCCATAACTTCGTTCAGGGAGTCGCACAGCAGGCAATGAACATAGATTTAGAATCAGCGTTCCAAGACGCACCTACTGGTATACATCTCATTGCAAAAGGTCACGGTCACCGAGTATCCTTCCCTCGTAAGTATCCTCTCCTTGTAAGTAACTTACTCTTGAGTATCGTCTATTCCCCACAATATAGCAGGCGGAGCTTTGCCAACGTTTGCCAACGCGGCAGTTTTTGACACAAGGTAGTACAAAAACTAATGCTTTAAAATGGAGATTAAACAAATTTTCCAACGTGTCAAAATGTCTGCAGGGCCACGCCCGCTATATGCATTGGAATCGCCTATAACTTACGGTGCACGTCATTCAACATGTCGAACATCTGAATAAGGAGCCACAGTGCAGGCTGACAACTTTGACAAGATGTAACAAGTGCGGCCACATCTTCTCCGCTAGGACCAAACACAAAGATGTGAATACTTTATGAACGGATTTTGACTTGTATACTTGCATATAAACATGGCGTATCCAATCATATCAATGTGGATGGCTGGAATCATCGATCGATGGCTCAAATGAGGCGGAGCTGACTCGTCGAAGCCTCAACTGAAGCTTTCCTCAGTTGAGAT